ATAATTATTGGGAAATGCATGGAAAAGACATTGAATGATAAAGCGGGGAGATTGATGTCTCTGTATTGACTGACATGCATGGCATTCCCTTTTGAAAAAGCAATGGAAGTCAATGTAAAATGTAATGTAATCCAATGTAATATAAAGAAGATTATGATGATAATAAAAATTTTAAAAAATTAAAAAAAAAAAAAGCAATGGAAGTCAATGTAAAGTTATATGTACTCCAATGTAATATAAAGAAGATTAATAATAAAAATTTTAAAAAATTAAAAAATCAAAAAAAAAAAAGAAGAGCAGTTTTGAACTGGTAATGATATTTCCTTGAAACTTAAAGCCTAGAAACAGGTTAGTATTCTGCTCAAATAGTAGGTACATGCACCTATCGACAGCTCAAGACAGGACAAAAATTCTTTAAAACCGGACAACAAAGCTTAGAAGAAAAGCAGCAAGATTTTAGTCAAGTCACAGAATGTTGTTTCATCAGTTCAGTATCATGTACTTAATCTTTCTTCTGTTAAGGTTTGATCTTCCAGATTGAATTCTGGGATATAATATGGATCTCCAAACATTGTCCCTACAATTAAGTTGTCCATTTTCTTAGTTTTTGAACTCTCATTTCTGTGTGTCTTCTGCTGAAGTTTTCTAACCTCCAGACTCATTTCTAGAAAGGCACACACACAGACCCATCCTAAGATGGATACTGAAGTTGAGCTGTGAATTATTGGTTTCCTTGACTAAAAATGAAGATTTTTCTGCTGTGACTTCTCCCTTCAGATACATTTCTAGAGGGGTAGGGATATATCTGCCTCCTTCTCTCCATTTCTCTCTTTTTCTGTCTCTCTGGGCCTCCCTGTGACTTTTAAGTTTGTGGGGTTTTTTTGTTTGTTTGTTTTGTTTTTTTCATTTAAGGTAATGTATTCTCTGGGCTCATAATGCCCTGGCTTATTGTGCAAATTTGTTCTTTTCCCAATTCCACTTAGTAAAGGTACACCCCTAGGCCTATCTTAAAATGGCTACTGAACTGGAGCTGTAAAATACTGTGTTTTTGTTTTTTGCATTTTATAGTTCAAACATAGAGTCTTTTTAACATATTTTATACTTTCACCATTTTTTCCTTCTGTCCTCTTCTCCAATCCTTTTCATTTTTTTTTTATCTTCGTTCACTGGCTGCTCAGCCTCTATGCGCTGAGTGTCTAGACAGGTCCATGTGAACAGGATCCAAACATGTGAATAAGATTAGGGTCGGAATATTCCTCTATACCCACTGATTCTGAAGCACAAAGAGTTAAAATGGAACAGAAGAGAGTTTGCAGATCACCTCCCCCAGCACGCCTCTGAATGTTCAGATTGAACTTCAAGAATAAGGAAGAAATGCACCATCTATCAAACGACCAGAAATGACCACAGGGTAACAAGAAATATGGGAAAGCAGGAAAATACCTCTCCTCCAAGGGAAGAGAATAACTCTTCTTCATTATCAGACAGTACAATGAAACTCACAAAAATGTCAGATAAAGAATTTAGAATATTCATAGCTAACAAAGATGGAAGAGAAGAGAGACAACGAACTGCAGAAGAGGCAGCAGAAAGGACCTGAAGAGTTCCAGGAGGTGATAAATTTCTTGCAAGATCTAAATGTGGAAATAAACGCCATAAAAAGAATCAAAAGGAACTGTTAGAGATTAAAGCTAGAATACAGAAAGTCAAAATTTCCCTTGAAAGTATTAAAAGCAGACTCGATCATACAGAAAATCAAATCTCATATGTAGAAGATACAATCGCTGGCCTAAAAAAATCCACCACAAAGACTGAGAAAGTTGCCCAAAAAAAATGAGAATAACATACGAGAAATCATAGATTCCATCAAACGTTCAAACATCCAGATAATCCCAGAAGGCAAAGAGACTCATGAGGGCATTGATAATCTATTCTTTGAAATTCTGGAAGAAAACTTTCCAAACCTAGAGAGATATTCAAAGATCCAGTCCCAAGAAATACAAAGGACCCCAAATAGAATCAACCCAAGAAGATCTCCAAGACACATTATAGCCAGATTGACCAAAACCACAGACAAAGACAAGATACTAAGACTGGCAAGAGAGAAACGTCAAGTTACCTACAAAGGATATCCCATCAGCCTAACAGCAGACATCACATCGGAAAAAATGTGAGTGAGGAAAGAATGGGAAAGTATGTTCAGAATGTTAAGGGAAAAGCAATTTCAACCAAGAATACAATGCCCAGCAAAATCATCCTTCATATGGAAAGAAAAGACAAAAACATTCTCAGATAAACAAAATCTGAAAGAATTTACCAACACCAGACCAGATCTCCAAGAAGTTCTCAAAGGAGTGCTATACCAGGAAAATTAAATACAGACACACAGAGATAAGAGTTCAAAAACTAAGAAAATGGCCAATGTACTAGTAGAGACATGTCTGGAGTTAAATATTATATTCCACAATTTAAGTGGTAAGATCGAATCACAACAGAAAATCAGTTAAGTATATGAGAATGAACTGGTCAAATAGAATATTATGACTTTAGACTAAAACATTGCTGATTTTCTTCTTGGTTTTGTTTTCCAATCTTAAGGATTTTTGTCTTGTCTTAAGCTGCCGATAGTCCCATGTACATACTATTAGAACAGAATCCTAATCTGTTTCCTGGCTTTATGTTTTAAGCAAAGCTCCCTTAGCATTTCTTTGATTTCTTAAAGCTAAAATTGCTTTAGTTTCATGTACATACTATTTGAACAGAATCCTAACCTGTTTCCTGGCTTTAAGTTTTAAGCAAAGCTCCCATAGCATTTCTTTGATTTATTAAAGCTAATTGCTTTTCTTGAAATTAAAAATATATTTAAAATATCTATTTAATGACCATAGTAAGTTATGTAGCATCAGGTAGATGTTACTTTATATTATATTCATTCTACTCAGAGTTTCACAACTAAAATCAGACATATGTTCACAGATATATATATATATATACGAGAGAACTTGTTATTGAAATAGCTAGATTACTTAAGAAATTTTGTGAATCAATAAAATATGTGGGGGGTAAGAACTCAGGTTACCCAAAACACAGCATAGAAACAAACCAGACTGTCTACCAAATTTGGGGAGATCCTGGGCCTGAGAACTTACTGAATTTCCCCAAGGAGAAGCTTTCAAATAGAGAGATTACAAAGGACCCACTGCACTGGTACCAGGCACAAGCTTCAAAAGAACCTCTTGATAGAGCTCCAGTTTTTCTATAGTCCATTGTCAGGTCACCATCATTGTCAATGGAAATAACCAACACTGCAGAAATAATAATTAATGAGATTTACTTCTAAACACAGATATGAGTGACTGACCCAGAGAAAGGCGAGCAAGTCTTTCTCGAGGTACTCCAATACAAGAACTCCTTTATTTGATTTTAAGAGGGAGAGACAAAGGTTTGGAAAGAGATTTTTATTAGTCTGGCCTAAAAAGGTGGGACATCAGGAAGGAGAAGCTTGTAGATTATAAATGGGTTTTACAATTTTTAGGTTGGTATTTGAAAGGGAAGGTCTGGGAAGAGATGAGCAAAAGAATGCACTGTAACAGGTTTGATGTACATCTCAAAGATAGTATGCCAGAGACAAGAGGTAGAAAAAATTCCTGTTATTAATGAAACATAATGACCTGTTACTGTTTGTAGGTTTGACCACCTCCCCCTTCCCACCTCAACTTTGGAAAGGTGTTTTTGGCAGTCAGACTTTTGCTCTCAAAACCAGATGCCATGAATGAGAAGAGGGTGTAGCAAGGAGTCTTATACAATAGCAGTGATTGGCTGACAAGGGAGCGAGATGGTCTCATAGTCAGTATAGGAATCAGTGGGTCCACACATTGTTGGAACTGCTAATTAAGAGTAAGGGGACCAGCAGTTAGCGTAATGGCTATGTCGCTGGACTCCCACGTAGTCGACCGTGGTTCAAGTGCTGGACCCGGTGGCTTAAACTCACGCTGGGCATGTGTGCGTGCGTGCCCAAGATCCCGAGAGGAGAATGGAGGAGAAGGGATTGCGGGGTGGCCATCCCCCCTGGGGGGTGATTTCTCGTTTTCTATCTCTCTGTCTCTCTCTGTCTTTCTGGCGAGTGCACGCACCCTATA